CCCCCCCCCCCATCCCGCCTAGACCCCGCGTACGGACCCCAGAAAAAATGTGCAAATTTTGTTGGCGGGAAACGATTTTGCGAATCAACCGAGATACAGAGCTTAAACTTTACAGTATTTTCTATGCGTGTGCGAGCTAAAGGTTTCGAATTCGGTTGTCGTGCAGGCTTGTACAGCGTGTACGACCACGTCAAAGTTTTCGACTTGGTACTATGCTAGCTCGAAAACATGCCAGAAAACAGTGGCTTTAATTTTGTCAGGAAATAGTGGCTGAAATTTTCATTTCCTCCCCTCGTTTTTCATCTTCCTTCGGTAATCCACATGTCCTTTTTAACATGGCGAACACAGGGCGCAGTACTTATGATTCCCACTTCATTCCGCACCGCTTCTGTCGTCTATTTTTACAGCTCAGAGATGAAACACAGACAGGCTATCAAGTCACTGCACACACAGGTTGCTTATTTGGGAGATCTAAATGCCACTTCCAGTCTTTTATTAATTGTCAAAATTCGATTGTATTCCTCTCCACGGTGGGTCAGTAACGCCAAACAAACTGCATTTAACACATAGGGGATTTCAGGCCCCCGTCCTCTTCCAATCTCTTTGGTAGGAATATTCACTATTTGCATTTCTTTAAAATTTCTACAACACTTAAAGAATTTAAATTCAGCCCCTAGGTATACATGGTTCCCACTTACAGCCGTGTGAAAATTTTTGGCGGAGAATTCGCAAACTCCGGTACCAAGGAAGCTGGGAGACTGAAATTTTAAGGGTATGTTCCTCTTCCAATTAGAACACAAAAATTTCAAATTCAGCTCCCTGTTATGCGTGGTTCTCACGTGTGGACCCGTGAAATTTTTCGGCGGAAAAACTGCTAATTCGGGAACCAGAGAAGCTGGAAAACTGAAATTTTAGCGGAATGTTCTCTTCTACATACACGTAGTAGTAGTACGATTAACTTCCTAAAGTACGAGGATCAGTACGTCATAAATTCCATCTATTGTGGTTCCAAGCGATCTTGCAACAGTACGATATACCGCAAAAACGCATGATCGCGCGGGCCCGGCCGGTGCGCTTTGCCAATGATTTTTTTTTTCTCAAATTAGGTATGAATTGATCGGGAAATCGCCAGTATTTCTTTGTCGTTTTGTTAAAAATGCTTTTTTCATGGACAATTTATGCGAATATGAGAGCGTTTAGAAATGAATTCGTAAATTTATTAGGATGTTAGATATCAAGCAGCGCCTGCGAGAGTCAGACTTGCATCAATGGTAAGAAGAAGTCAGTAAAGCGAGCAATATCGGCTGCGTAAAATGCAACATTCGTATGGCCTTGCGCGGTGGGGAGTGCTTTTCTTGTGAGCAGCTCCCGGCACAAGCTGCTAGAAGATGAATTAATACCAAGTAGTACCCAACGACCATCGTCCAGTTGTGACATTAGACCACCGCCACTATCGCCATGAAACTTTTGGCCCTTAAGATCATTAGGGGCATAGAGCGCTACTTCAGCCAAACACTCAAATGAGTGGACACACCACGGTCCTAGGAGCACTATTTGTCGCATAGTTCACAACAGTTACGAGGCATTACATAAAGGAGTTATTGAAATGGGTAGTTTTTTACAGTAATACAAGTTCATTAAAAATAACCCAGGCTGGAACGCACCAGGCGAGCCGGTGCGATCATGCGTTTTTGCACAGTTTCTTGCGGATTTTTAGTGCTACTGTGTTATCTTGGCGCAGTGCTCTGCATATTGTAATATACAATCTAGAGAGCGGAGCGTTCTGTTCGAAGAAATTTGAAGTGGAGCGAAGTAAGCAGTGCTCCTGTCGCCTCAGTTCAACTCGCATTTGAATGCGACTCGCGAGGCGTGATGAATGTGCCAATTACGTACAGCCCGGAAAGTGACGTAACTCTGAACAGCGCAACGTACAGTAAAGCCCGAGTTCTTATTTTAGATTACTTTAAAGAAAAAAAAAGATCAGCTGTGCGTAAGAGGTTTATGAGCTTAATGCATACACGCAGTTGTGCAAGCGATAAATTCTCGGCATTCAAAACGCCGGGAATGCGGCATGGCAGTATATTGTAGAGCAATGCTCGGTCGATCACTGCGTTTCCCTCACGTG